ATAAATGATTTAGTAAATGGAGATTGTACAATATAAGCTCATCAAATGATCTTTGTGCAAAAGATTATTAGTTCCATCTTGTATTATGCTTCATGGATTAGTCTTAGAATAGTCTTAGAAGATTCTTAAGCAGCGCAGGCACAAGAGATTGGAGCTAGATTGACTTTGATAGTTATACACAACATGTTATGGTTTCCCTTCAAAATCTTCTTCTGTCCTGTCTTGGGTATTTTTTTTGGTGGGAGATCAAAGGTCATTTGTTAGAAAGCAACATTTTTGTCTGACAGTTTTTGCACCTACAACACTTTTGTTTGCTGGCTTTTTTTCTCTTGGCCATGAATTGAAAAAAGTCACACACTGTCACACTATCAAAGAAAGCATAGCCTGTGTTTTATTCCTAGAGAAAAACATTGATTGACTGCAGAGCACCCTCTTGCTGTCAGCTCGCTGTGCTAGAGATGCTTCAGCAATGAGTTTCACTGTTTTCCAGAGAGTTTGCATCACCCTTCTCCACACTTCCATTACAATTAGGTTGAAAGGTATGCATCAGATTGTTAGCTCTGTTGTTGGCGATATTTTTGCCATCCCTTAGATGATGTCTTGCTATTCCTTCACTTTTTGGAATAATGAAAATGAAAAACAGGATGTTATCAAACCAGCCCGTGGTGTTCTGTCAGTAATATAAAAAAAGCATGTAAGTACACATTCTTAGGAAACTTGAATAAGTGCAAATGTTTCCAAAGAGGCAAGTGCAGCTGGGAGCTTGCTGAAATGAATGTTCACTCTCAATTTAAATGGATTTTCTCTTAGAAAGGTTGCTCTCACAAATAACCCGCTGGTGTGAGATGACGCTGCTTGCAGTTGAAGGTTACTTAAATTTTTTTCAGTTCATGAATATGGGGGGAAAAAAAAGAAGAAAACACGAATCAACTGTTGAGAACATTATGTGTGATGCAGGTTTTTAAAAAAAGCACATACTGTATGAAGTGTTCACATCTTTTATACTGATGTTTCAAGACTCTTTCCTTCCTTCCTTCCTTCCTTCCTTCCTTCCTTCCTTCCTTCCTTCCTTCCTTCCTTCCTTCCTTCCTTGTCCTTAGTGAAACAGACTCACTGGTTCCTAGCTGGAGCATTTATGTCTTCCAGTATTTCAGCAGTACATCATGGGTCTCTGCGGTTCTCCAGGTTTCCTTACTTACCTGATTTTCGAGTTTTAGACTTTTTCGATGCCCAAAGTATGATAGAATATTAAAGCAGTGAGCACCTCATGATTCATACAGAGACTAGTAAATAGAGCAAAACTTCTTTGAGTAAAGTTTAACATGGGAATTTTTTATGCATACAGATTAAAATAAAATTTTATTGGATAAAAAAAAATACACATAGACATTTTAACAATTTTGGAAAATTCATAAATGGCATTATTGATTAAAATAGCTTAAGAATAAATATAAAACGTATTTTTATGTATAATTTCTACATTTATGTCAATTGTTTTTTTGACTGTGCTTTAAACACTTGCCAAAACATGGATGTAATCTTTTTTGCTGGTAGTTAAGAGCCTCCATTGATTTTTTTGAAGCCACAGTGTGGTGGGAAAGCTCTCACCCCATAAAAGCTTATTGAGTTGGCAGCAGACTTTTATTGCCTGTAATTTTACAAATTTCACAAAGTACAAATTTCCCTATAATAAAACTACATCGTAAAAAGTTAAAACTTTTGGTTCCTGGCTATTCTTGGCTACTTTAAAACCATTTAGTGCTGAAAAGGCTTCAGAAGTCTGCTTAATTTTCTGAATGAGATTCGACAATGCAAAAGTCTTATTACATTTTGTTACATTGCAGGTCTGTTTTGAGCCAGTTACTATTAATAATCAGTACTTGGTGTACATCATACTATGTAATCCTAAGGTATTATTAAAGACAGCAGGGTTTAAAATAACTTTTTAAAAATTTTGTATTTTGCTCATGGAACTATTTAGAGACATTTGTAGAGTTTAGTTTTTACCTTTGTAAAGTTAGTGGCACTTCTGCTAGAGATGTACCTTAAACAGATAAATCCCTAAATCCTAATCTTTTGCAGATAACTAATTTGATTTGAGAACATTTATTTACTTTAGGGGAAAGAAATATAAGGTAAAAGTATTTTGGCTTCTGCAATCTGACTAGATCAGAGACCTTCAATTCTGGTACTTAGGGTCCCCTGTGTTGCATGCTCCAGGTGTGTTTGAAGTCACCAATGGCTGAAGAGTCCTCTCAGTCTACCATTTATCTAGAAACATCTAGAGACAGGGAAACCAACATTGATTTTATGTATTTTAAAAGAGAGCTATAATTTTGCTACTGATTATTACAGATTGTGCTTCACTACAGAAGTTATTTTTGTGACATTTAGGTATAATAAAGCATGTTCATTAACCTCTGAGAAGACTGTCTGAATTTGCCTTGAGGCTGGGCAAAGTGTCCTCCTTTTTGGAAATATATATATATATATATATATATATATATATATATATAAAATCTAAACAATCAGAGCACACTGTTTATGCAGCAACCATAGCTATTTGTACAACAGAGCTTAATCATATAGATAACCTACAAAGAGGAAAAAGTAAAAGGACTGCAATATGCTGGTGAAGATTCTCTGTCATCCAGGTCATAGTCATTCCAAAAAAGATAAAAAAAAAAACAATATTCTGGACTTTGTTTCCAATTTTGAAGACGTTTCGCTTCCCATCCGGGAAGCTTTTTCAATGCAAGATCTCAGAAATAGGGTTGAGTTTGCATGTTTTCTGATGCTATTTCTGACATTTTGCTGAAAAAGCGTCCTGGATGGGAAGCAAATGTCTTCAAACTTAAAAACAAAGTCCAGTGGACTGTTTTTTTTTTTTTACTTTTTTTGGAAAAGTAAATGGGCCCAGGACTCTGAGGGCCGGATTTATCAAGATCCAATTTTGCGTGCAGTAATTTGCGCTCGCAAACTGGAATTTTGCGCGAGGGGCTGAACCATGGTTTGCGGGTGATTTAACAAGAGCGATTGCGTAACTGGTGGCACGTGCTAAATTGTTGGAGACG